CTATAGTTGGTTTGTAAGGATTAGATTTGTTTTTATGAGGATATCAATCCGTGATCAACTTGTAAAAACAAATCTAATCCTTACAAACCAAATATTGAAAATTAACGTGATGCTCTTTAGTGACTTGCTACAGGATAGAGTTTCCTGGAGCTCTAGTGAGAAGTCATGACCAGTGAGGTTCATCCAGTCACGTGTGAGGATGGATGTCCCACTGATGACATTGGTTGGGGTCACGCTAAATCACTAACTGGTAGAAGTTAGAATTCATGGGCCGGCTACTGAATCGGGTCCCAGTGGCTGAATGGTATACGAGCCTGCTTTGTAACCGGAAGGTTCTGGGTTCGAACCCTGGTGGTGGGTGCGTACTGCCGATGATTCCCAAAGAGCTAGGATGAAACAGCTGTCCAGTACTCCCTGGTGGTTTTCAATGGTTCTCTAACCGATATCAATCCGTGATCAACTCGTAACATTCAGTAGAAAATACCTTTGCAAACTATGAAATACTTCATTTCCGTTTATTATATTTATCCTATGGCTGAGAAAACTTTATTCATGTGTCAAATGAGTCGTATTATCTTGCCCCAATTTTAAACCAGTCTTATCTAATTTTCCTCCCAACCGTCTACAATACTTTTATCAACAAATCTTTCCAAATTTACAGTAGTGAAAATGAAAATGTATTACGCTTAAACTACAGACATGTATTCATGAAGTTAGGCCTGTATCGAAAAACTCCAGCCGGCCCCAATACAATTATTTAACTATTTTACATAACTGCGTTCACATGGACCAATTCAAAAAGTACACAAACACCTACTGTCCACTTTATAACTCATTTCAAACTTATCTGTACATCATCACCGACAAGATCCCATACTGATAACCAATTTTTTCTATCCTCTGCTTTCCGAGTGAAACACAGAGTTTCCAGCTTTAAGATTTCAGTAGTGGTAGCGTTGTTTCTGCCAGTTCAAAATATACAGATCTGCTTATAAATAAGAATAGAATTTAACTGCATTTACTAGTTTCTTTTATTTATCAAACCCTTTATTCTAAGACTAAAGGTAGGGAATGTTCATCGGTACTATAAAATATGTGAAACTAATTATCGCGTATAAATCAGTAAGCAACCTGGATTATATATTCAAGGAGCAGGTGATTCAAATGCTTTGCTTAATAAAAGTGACCTTAAATTCCATCAAATTCTTAGAAAAACAACAAGTACTAGATTAGTTTGATTAGTTCTCTTTAAGAGAAAACAGCTGTTTTTTTAAATCAATGAATGGCAGTTAGTATATATAACATAACATCACTTTTGCAGATAATTCTGAGCGATTACACCTTCTAAATATGTTACAGATTTTGCCTTCTGACAGTATTGATTCCGGTATTCTTAGATTACATTTATGCATGGGAATTAGTGTTCACATCAAAATGAAAATAATTTTAACTGTCTTATTAGGAGAAGTATATCAACACTCAGTTGTAGGCCACATTTCAGATATCCTGTGGACTACAGATGAAATCTGCTCAAGTTATTACTAGACATTTTAAAAAACGACAAACCTATTGACATCCAGTGAGTTAAGTCAACAATCGGGGGAATAGACATTTAATTATTTATGTTGGCACCAACAGTCAACCTAGATTAACACAGTTTACAATAAATGACGTAGAATTCGACAGCTCAATGCTCTACTTTGATTATGTCTTCTGGATCTTTTGATCTTTAACACTTCTGAGTTAGACTGTACACACAAGACAAAAGAAATGCAGAAGGTTGACTTATTGCAGGAAAAGTTCATATGCATTATCAGACATATGATTTCAAAAGGCTGATTAGTGAGCAAAGAATGTTCTTTTCGATAACTTCCCTATCAGATTCTACAGTTTTATTACCATAATTATCACTGAATTATTGTTAGTAACGTATGATTTCACCAAGTGAAACCTTTTACAATCGACCTCAGTTAGAATCCAGAAAAAAGACATTATCTTCATCAACAGTTCTATCTTTTCGGAAGTTTCTGATTCCACGGGAATCTTACTGATTTAAAGTGAATTTAATTGCATACAAATATTAGTGGGAATAAAGGTTAAAGATCAAGCAGTGCTGCACGCATGTTTTATCCTAGTCACATACTCTTCGCCAGACTCACTAACAAACGTATAAATATACCAAGTAATTTCAGCTCGCGTGACAAACATGCTACCATTTATTCACTTCATCCAGCAGTTTTAGGATAATTCTACTTGGTAAGTGGTTAACTGGCACTTAGTCTGAGCAAAGATCTAGGGTCGTGGGTATCATCCTTTTGTGAAGCTATGAGTGATTGTTCTTGGCAAGTTGGGGCCTATGAAGAAACACCTTCTCTGCTCTACTTAATTTTCAATGTCCTGATTTTTTTTGTTTATCATTCGTGAAGCGTTCTACAAGAGGCAATAATTGAATTAACTGTCCATGGAAACAGAAGCCAAATACCTTTGTTGGCAGTCTGTTAATTAGCCTCTGAGAAACTCGCACTGTTTTAAGTGATAGTACCACACAAAGCTCAGACTCTGTAATAAATTTTATGGTAACCACATGAGCAGTAAGAGACCGATAACTTTGATTCAAATAGCCTACCAATAATATTGTAGGTCTCCAAACAAGAAAAGAATATTTTACTTGTTTAACGTAAATGTGAATTTTGCTAAGTGGAAACAATGGGCCAAAACATGTTATATACAAATCGCTTATTCATTGTGACATTTATAATAGCAATTCTTTTAGCTCAGCATCTTTTCAATCGCTAAACTATAGGACCAACGTAGTTACCACTGACTGGTACTTAGCCACTGAGGATGTCTATTCAGACATTTTATTTAGTGGCATATTCCGTTGATACAATACGCACTTTTTTCGGAAAAAAGGTTCTGGTTTTCATTTTTAAGTGTTTAAAGTCCACCAAAACCAATTTTCATTGCGAAAACAGCAGAGGATCTTATAAAAGGGAAACGGAGAGATTCTGTGTCGTACCTCAAAAGATCCCTTCTAGTCTAAAAACATTATATAAAAACTGGTGATACGAAAGCATAGCTAATAAATTTATCTCAATGAACTGCATCAATTCGGGCTTTGCACTTAAAATTTAGTGAATGAAAATTCGTCACGTAAATAAAGTGAGAAAAAATCACCTCAAATATGGAATTCTACTTGGAAAAACCAGAAATCGGAGATCAGTAACACGTTTTTGCTTTATAAAATTTAAACCTCACAGTATGTCAGCACCAACCCTACACATAGAGCGACTGTCACATTGGTAGTGATTAATACCAGTCTTTTAGAAGGTATATTTAAAATTCCACACCACTTACAATTAGGCATGAATAACGACAAAAAACTCTCTAATCTATGTGCAATTTACTTAAATGTTTAGATAAGCATGCAAAGCAATAAAAACCTACTAAAATGCTTCAGACAGACAGAAAATGTTACTTACGAGGTTAAAACTAGTATTCATCAAAATCTAATTAAAAGTATTAGTCAGTCGTCTGATATTTATTAAACATTTTTGTAAGTAGTATGGTAATCCATATGATGTCACATTATTAAGATACGATGCAACATCTAAACTAAGAGAGCGTAACAATGACAGCATATATTTCAGAGTTCTCTTCCATAATGCAATCATCAGTTTCGTCAAAGATTACCATTATAATGACACTACAATCTGTATGAGAAACAAAGTAAGCCTAACACAGGTTAGCTCTATGTGAAAAATGAGTTCCTTCAGAGTTGCTGGTCTTCATTACTGGTAAATATGAACAAAAATACCATGAACTACCGTCAGCTGATTTATTCTAATATTAAAGAACAAACTATGGTGCACCATATCGTTTACACGACTGCCAACGAATCATTAAAATTAGAATCCCTACAGATAATACTGCTTTTCTATTTAAATACAATAAGCCATAAGTCACAATTATTGTCTGAGGGTTTAGAATGTCACTTGAATGTCTAGTTAGTGCATTGGGGTAATAACAGTATGTACAGTGTATGGTAGTCCATTGATTGTTTGTCCTAAGCTTGGGATTTGAAACAAACAAAAGGTTCACCATGTTTCTTAAGTAAATACACGAATAAAGCAGTTTTGATTCTTATAATAAATGTCAATAGAATATCCGGTCAAAAATTACATCAGAAAGCGGGCAAACGTCTTTATTTCCAGAAGCGTCCGAGAAATTTTTCATAATAATTATTTTAAGGTGGTCAAATACATAAACATTCTTCAAAAAATTACTCATTGATTAGTTGCTTGTACACGGGGTTGTCAAATACATTAACAGATGAACAAGCTCTGTAAATTCGAAAAACTTGTGATCAGCACCGTCGCCTTTTGGCTGGTTTTGACCATATAAATTACGTATCTCCCTCTTCCATCCTATGTATCCTACATTACTCAGGGCATTTCAATGAACAATCACATAAAACAATTTAATGTGAACGTCACCTTTACGTAGCAATTTTTTAATAAGACATTTTTCACATCAAAGTTAAAAGATGGAAGCACATCCGCAAGTCACGCACTGGCGTTTTTACGCCTGATACTGAAACTACTGTTCACTTTTAAAGGATATCAGTATCACTTACTTCAACTTTTTAGAATACATAAACTTAGTTCAAAAAAACAATGAATTTTGTTGGTGTTCACTACTGAATTCCCTGTAACGCAAAAAGAATATATTAAAAACTCTTCGTATACAGAAGCATGTCATATAGAACGGCACCGGAATATTGCATTATCCAATAAGGTTTATCATGAAACTTCATTGCGAAGACAGTATTAACCGTTATTTTAAGGAAGAAATGTACCTAAATAAAGTACTGGTGTGATTTTAACCAACATAACGTCATTAAGCATCATTTAATAGAAACACCAGATTCAACAATTATAATATTTGAACTTTAACAATATGATGCAAGCAATAACCATGGTGAAATAATGAAATCTCACAGCTCACATAGTAACATCCGAAAATTCGCAGTTCGATTTTTTTAACAAAGATAAGTAAATTCACTTCAGAAGTTATGAAAAACAGCTTGCAATGAACGCTAAACCATATGATCGCGATTATTTTTGTTGATTAAACTGGTTCACTCTAACACTGTTCAGTGTCCAATTGATCAAATTTTATACTTACATTAAATATTGAAACAAATATAAATCATAAATTGCACGCTTTCAAAACCAAAAATCTAGTTTGAATGATATGCAAATAAAGATATATGAGTAGGTAATTCACACCAACTACTTTGTGGCTTTAGTTCTCATGTAACTCTGACTCATAACAGCACCTTTCTGAAATGAATGTGTGCATGAATAACACCTCCAGCTTGACCACTTTACACAAACAGTGAACATAAACAAAATGTGGATGCTGATGCGAGCAAAAGCTACTCATTTTACGAATTTATTTACCTCTCCACCTTAGTCGTCGATTAATTTTACCACACGAAAGAGAAATCACTTTCTCAAATCCCCCTTCGCCTAATCTCTAAGGCTTATTTTTTTGAAAACCTACCCTTTAAAACAGTTGTTAGTCTTCCTAAACACATAGCACCCCACGTATTGAATATTAGGATTCTCTAGGCATTAACGATAGTAAAGTTAGTCATGGAGACTTTGTCCAGAGGGTCAATGGAAACTCTGAGGCCCAGAAAACCCAATAACAGGAAATGTGTGCTCCAGTTATAATTCCTCTTTGTTATTTCGTAATTATAGAACCGTTTACCCCGACGCATTGCTTTCTTTACACTCAAGCCCGTTGTTAAATCTTAACAGGCAATCTTTTTATAAGAAGAATGTCGACAGGATACAATTATTCCTGTGTAAAATACTATTCTGTCAAGAAATACATCCACATTATTGTGCCAGTTACCTGATAATGTCGTATAATTACAGTAAACAATGTAGCCATCTCAATCAAATTCGCAAAATTAACTGCTGAAGTTGCTCCACTCAATCAGCCTGTTCTCTGTGAAACTAAAAAATCCAATTACATGAAAACAGATTTTAGTTATTCGCCCTAGAATTACCTTCACATTGGTAGCAGTACTGTTGCGAACAGCACCGTGCAATATTTTATTAGGACACGCGAATAAGATCAAAATATATTAATACTGTCTCCTGGAGAATCTTGAAGACTCCATCAAGCTGTCTTCGGCAAGTGAGATATAAAATCAATAGAAAGAATTTGATTCTGAGGTCACCGTTATCTTACACGATTCGGGCGTTCAAAGTCCTCCACCCTTCCTGAACCTTAGTCAGCGAGTCTCACAATTACACACTAGCTTTCTTCACTTTTGTCAAACATAGGAATGATGGATAAAAATGGTGTGAAAATGATGAAGCATGAAGATATTCTTCTCTTGACCAAAATAATCGATTTTCAGTGACAGAATGCAATAACCTTTTGTGGTGTGCGGCTAGAAAAAATCAGCATTTTGTTAGCATGCATCGTGAGTTGAAAAGCACTCACCAGGTGCGTGCAATGTTAGAACTCTGGACCAGTCCTGAGTCATTGATGGGGACTTCATTTGGTATAAGAGGCTTTCTGGTCGGGTGGTCATGCTTCCAAATAAGGTGGCTATTCTGATGATATACGTACGGATTATGCTAACAAACTAAACAGTGAGCACAGACACATGCTTGCCAGTCAAACCACGGACGAAATGTGACAGCAAGTGGCCTTGTAGGGGTCAAAGATGTTTGTCAACTAAATTGGGCCTCAGCCGTTTAACTGTCAACGAGCAAGTTGTTAATCCGTGCTGACTGGAACACACGGTGCTCTATATAATTGTCAAGGGACAAGAGCTCGACAGCTTCGCCGTGGTATGATTATCTACTTCTACACTCTCTCTAAAGCATCAACGACAATTGCATCTTTTAGCAGCTGTAAGTGTTATATTCTCCCTTCGCTAGTTGAGAAGGCGTTAAGGTCAGCAGGTAGTGGCTAAAATCCAAGTCTAACAGGACTGATAACCACACAACAATCGTGAGCGTTATTTTTAGTTTAAGCCAACCGAAAGGCGACCTCATATCTGTGTAGGCAGTTTAACTAAATGGTTTCCTACAGCATCATGTCGGGCAGCAACTGCCAAGATAGGGTGACTACACAGTCTGTCCTTCTGCCTCCCTAAGAAAGTTCTTACAGGAACTTCTTAACACGGGTGCGAGCAGACGGAAATCAAGCTGCTACGGTTAGCCAGTACTTAGCAACGGAATGTTATACATCATGGTAGGTATACACACGAATTTACAGAACCTATACATCAATTGATTGACGAATAACATTTTCTTCTCTTCTCATTTCTTCAGGGTTACAGAAACAAAATTCACCCGACTCTTATTTAAAACAAACTACAAGGTTTCCGTCTAACCTGACAGCTCAGAAACCGACTGTTCTATCAAAATTTTCCAAATTATCGACAAGCAACACATATCACTGCAGAGGAAAGCTATAAGGTTTGAACTTTCATTTGCGACAGCATAGAGGTGGGCGAGTGAGCCATGGAGCATAGTCCAAAACACAAAAGTGCATTCATCATCCAATTTCGTTAGTCAGATAAATGGAGCCTTACAAATCATAAAGAAATTATAGTTCATACTTGTTTACTCGTCTTTTCCTTCTAAATTCCTTAATCACCACCTTACTCTATGTAAATATTGCATTCTGTGTTGAATAGACCCTACAACAGAACTGATAACTCAGGATTGATTTCACCGCATTCCATGGTCTTTTCCATCATCAAATGCCATACTTTAGAAGATGAAGTGTATCTATGAGTATGAATGATATGATGCCACACAATCGTACTCTTTTTATTCTTTGACACCCAGAGGTACCTAGATTTGTTCAAATAGTACATAGTATGCAGGGGATAAAAGAATTTCGTCACCTCAATCCAGTCTTAGACATTTTCCCTCCAACGGTCAATTTTTTTATCTGTGCAGACTGGGTCATACCGGGGAGAACTGGGTTTTCATGGATAAAGAAAACGGCTGCTACTTTACGGTGTGATTGTGTTTCTCTTGACTCTCTTCATACCGTCGTTCATAAATATATCCCTGAACAACCGTAAGCTTCATATTATCACTTCACTACTTCGGGACGTTTTAGGAGCAGCCCGGCCACCAGGTTAGATGAAACAGGCTAACGAGTCATCGTGCAGTGTGGCTCAAGCTCAGGATAGATAGTCACACAACAACCCTGAACATTATTTCTAATTGAAACCAACCGGAAACGATCTGGAAGCCATCCAACCGGTTTCCTAGAAACAAACCGAATTGGAATAATAGTGTAGCCGCTGAAAATATAACGGTTGTGTCGAGAGTGATGTTGTTGGGCATTTGCACTAGGTTAGCTGATTAGGGACTATACAGGAAAAACTGGATTTAACACGAGGTTGAGTAAATTGTGTTGGTGCTTGATTGCTTACCTTCGGCTTATCCAGTTTACTTAAACAGTGAAGGTCGACACCCAGAGTTAAAAGATGATGAAATCGTCATCACTTTCAACCGGCTCTATGACAACCAACAAACTGTCATTTTATCTTCACTTGATGTCTTCCAAGTTAAAATGTAACTCAGGTCCACCTCGTGGCTTTCCACTCCGCTCGAAGGCCTGGCATGCGGTATCTCCTAATGATCTCCCTAGAGTATGTGCAAACTACCTTTATTACCTTCTGCACATCTGGTTCTTCTGTCGCTTGTCGCTTATCCCTTCTGATCGATCTTCCGATCTTCATCGGGGCAGAGAATATAGATTTTGATGGAAGTCTGCAGTGGAGAGCTGGAAACGTTTTCTGATTCCAGAATAATGAAGGGCTGCACTGCTTTTCTGAATCTATCTGTATCGCATATGGTTGAGGTGATTCCATCAAACCATGTAAAAGAAAGACGAACCCCTTAGTTTTCTCCCACTAATGCTCACTAATCTTTCTTATTAGTCAAGGAACTTCATCAGCTGTTTCCTCTATGTTCCTCCGAAGTATTGCCCGAGTCGCCCTACCTTCTAACTTGCAAATTTCGCGTGACACATGACATGAATCAATAACAAAACTCCGAACTTCCAGGGACCTTACATTTTCTAGTCTTCTCACTCCTTATGGCCTTCCATTCTACCATAGTCATCAGTAATAGTAAGTATTTATATTTACCCCTGTCTTCATTTCAAACTAGATGAGGTTTCCGTCATGAGTTACTTGACATCTTTCTTTATATTGATATCATTCAAAGTGATAAGGTTTATTTTTGCATTTCAACCAATTACCCTGGGTTTGCTCATATGACCACTGTTCATAAGAAAAGAATGATGTACACTGTTGTGTTCAGAAGATAATAAGTTCTCTTAAGAGCCCCTCTGATTACATAGATCAAATTATATGAAGGTCTACTTTCCTCCTAAGCCGTGGTGGCACGATTTCCTCACTCCTTGGCCTAGATTATTATAATATAATTAACAAGTACCTCGTGGTGACACTCATTGAGTAAAACGGAATTTATACACAATGCAGACAAAAGATGCCTCTGAATAAAGGCGATTGTGAGTAATAAAATGAACGTATCACTTTATTGCAGTGTATCGTCCGTTGTTCCATTCATCCAAGCCTCAATTTGCAACACCGCTTCAGTGTCAGTAGGTAGAGATAATCATTTAGTCACTAGAAGATAATTTTAAGGAATAAATCCAGTTAGGGGACTTCTTTAATTTCCCATAGGCTTAGTGCAATATGTGACACATAAAAAAATTTAACAGGACGATCGGTCATACTATGCGTCCGATAACAAAGGGAGTTAGGGGACGTCAACCAACATTGTTAGTGAAGAGAGAACTTTGGTATGTATATAGCTCGGTAAGAGAATACCTGGTGAACTCAAGACATTTAACTCCACGCGAAAAGTTCTCCAAAGTCATATACACGAGAAATGTTGGCAAGTATGTTGTTGTAGTATACTTGAACTTCAAAAGCTTCGAAGTCTTTTCACATTTAGAATATTCACAACTCTGCCCAATTAAAAAAATCAAACTTTTCGACAAAGAATTTTGCAGTAATTGCGAGAATTTTTTATTACAGCTTTTCGCAAACAATCAGTCTGACTAAATTTAATCGAAATTCAAATTGCACTCGTTTAGTTGCATCAGCAATCACAAGGAGGTGTGGTTGCTCAGCCCGCGGCATATGCCTTTCAGGTTTTCATGGAACAGAGTTTTCGATACCTATCCGTGATTGGCCCGGAACATGTAATTTTATCATATTTCAATTTTGAGCTATATAGTGGCGATTTTTAATATGCCAGCTTTTGTCATTGTTATCCGGCTATGCAATGCGGAAATGCATACCACCATGTATAGAAAATTCCAAACGACGTCATTTCTTTGAGTTTATCAGTGGACTAATAATCCTCTACATTGGCTATGGATCGTAATTTATTTTAACCTCTATTAATATTTCCTTCAGTCTTGTTATTCATATGTTTGCTCAAGCTATTCCAGCATATCTCATGATGGTCTTTCTTCCACTATCTATCGCTCAGTATGGTATTCTTATTTTTTCGATGATGTATCTATCCGGAGTACATATTCATAAATTTGTCCGCAATCCTTCTATTGACATTACTGCGTAAGTGACTTTTATTTAATGCTATTTTTAGTCCCTTGATGGTGCAGACGCAAAAGTTGTCTTCCTTAGCCTTCAATATAAATGATGGTGTAAAGCTGGCAAAAGAAGGAGTTGTTGACCGTGACTATCACAGACTTAATGCTGTAGAGTGAGTTAAATGTTTGTTTATGTTTGATATCCATTTGATTGCATTTTCCATGTGATAATTTCAAAAAACGGAATAATGTTTTGTTATGGCGTGCTTGATTGAGCTCAGGATTATCCCTTGAATCAAGTGCTCCCTCTGAATGTAAGATATTTTATTTCAAAATCACCCTTATAAAGGCTGTACGTGACCAGTACTAAACAGCACAGCTGTAGAGTCGATATAAGGTTCTCTGTTTGAAAAAACCTAGTGTGAAGTCTCATTTCTACTTCCCTGAAACTAGAAACTGCATAGTCTACATAGCCCATTGGTATTAAAATTTGTCTTACTGTCACTTTATATATTTTCTCCACTAATATCCTTATGCTTTCAACATTTCTGGGTTTTTTAACTATGTTATGAAAATATCAAATCTGTAAAATTTCACCAGTCCTTACCAGTGTTTCTTGATATGTTAGGCAACATATAAGTGACTACTCAGCATTTTTGTGATTGAAACAACTATTATTTCTCTTCAGTAAGTAAGTTTGATTATAAGTTTGCATATTCACATACTGAGCATATCTAACATCAAAATGCAAATTGCAAATTGGAAGTGTTATTCGCATTATGGTTTCCTTCTGTAACTGGCAGTACGGGTCACTGTTTTACCTAAATGTCACTGCAGGTGAGTCTACTGTCATTCATTAACGTATTGATCAGGTCCGAATCACTTGACCCATCTTACCCTCATATCAGCCACAATTACCAGGTTTCCCACATAAAAATAACAAATTTCCGATCTCATATTTAATCATTGCGTATTAATTTCAAATTGCTTTGAGTCCTCATTGTAAGTAAACAAAGAATCATTTACATGCAATTATTTGTATAGAACTGTACTTGTAGCTCGTCATTTGCAATTGTTAGTCAGGTTTTAAAGTCATTCTTGGCAAATTATTTACTCTGCTCTGATAATTTCCCTTTTGATGGTTACCTCTTTTCCTTATATGTAGGCGCCGACCTCGCCTTCTGCAACTAGGTGGATACTTATTTTCATTTCATAACGTAATGATTGGTCCTTTCAACTTCTTTGCCGATTATCTAAGATTTGTCCAAGGTCAGGAGTCAGAACGTTTGATGGACGAAAGTGATAAAAAGCGCTTTGTAAGCCCTAAATATTTTAGATTTTTCTTTTTTGCGTATGTTAAAATTAACGCAATATGTCCCAGTCGTATCAATCACTGCAACTTAACATCCTCATTGGTTAGCTTTCCCTTCTTACCTAACACTACTCTTAACTTCATTATTGCTCACGATTTTTATAGCATCTAACACAAGAGACAGATCGCAGAAGTTGAATGAAAGTGAGACACCGTGAAATTTTGTTAAATGTGATGAGAACTTTCGGTCTGTCAATCTTTGGAAAACAGGAAGTAGTAAAGCTATGGACGTCAAAATGCACAGTTAGCTTACTTATTTTTTGTTAGGCGCCTTGAACTAAAGATTGATCTTAGGGTATTTGTGCATAACCCTATTTTTGAGCTCTATTTTGCTCGTTTTATTTCTGTACGATTTATTCTTCAGAAGTAATAATTTATTATCCAGTGGTTTACTATGTTTTCTGCATACCGTTAAACGGTGTCACCAGTCTCTCTCTCTCTCTCTCTATATATATATATATATATATATATATATATATATATATATACTGAGGAGTCAATTCTTAACTGTGCTGCACCACTTTTTGCACTATACTCGATGTGATATGGAATTTTGTCTCATATTATTACGTAGGTTGTATGGGTGAAGCATGAGTTATTGGAATCTGTGGGTGATACAGCGACATAGCTACAGAATGAGGATATTGTACTAATATTCATATAAAGTAAATTCAGTAAAGTTAAAAGTATTGTAGCACTAATTAATCACATGATTGAAAACTAAGAGTCTGTAACTTAGTGACATTACAGTTAACTTAGAAATCTTCAGGTATAATATTTCTAATTTCTGAAGTGATTGATTTCACTGATTAATACTTATCATCCATTTATTGTTTTATAAATTCAGGAGGAAAATAAAGAAGAGATACGCCTTGCCAAAGTAAGTTAACGTTATATAGTTGTTGGATAATGTATTAGCTATGTAATGTATGTTTAATAACCTTAAAATAAGTCACATATCTCATCTAAAGGTTGATTATACTATCCAGCCAAATAAGTCTTAGTACATGGGACGGCTTTCAAATTCATCATTCACTAGCTGTAACTAATAAACTATGACTTCACTTGAAATTAGTTTATATTAGGTTTTAATTATCATTTGACATGATTTAGAATAAAGAAAATATATTTCCTAATCTGAAGAAAGTAAAAACATGCAATAAATGTTAAAAGCCCTAAAATAGAAATTTACTATCAAACTGAAAACTGTAGCTATCTAATATGTAATGCTGTTTTTTGAAACTAGAATATGTAAGCAACTGAATCCAACTTCAACCAAAATAAAAGTTTAATGAATAAAAGATTGTTTTTAAAATGCATTGCAGTACACTTCACCTTAAATTTACTAAAGCAATAACTTATTTCTTTATCTAGGCTGAAAAATGGAAACAGGTAAAACTTCTCTTACTTCATACCATATTGACAATATGGGCATTGTCAAGCTTTAAACCAGAATACTTTTTATGTAAGTCTGTGGTTATTTTTGTTGTTGTTGTTGTTTACCTATGTTAAATTTAATTATTGAGTGCTGCTTAAAGTTTGGTCAGTTAACCTGAACAGATTTTTCATCTACACTACGTCATGTATCATACATATTGTGGTTAGTCACGTTGACCAGTTGGCCAGGTTCAAGAATGTGAGGTGGGACTTGATTGTTTTATTTTTATTCCTTGAAGCCCTATGTACCACTGGGAACATGTGTGGTGACGTAAAGACACTATTCATTGGATTAAACGCTTGACTTTCAGCTGGTTATTTGTAGATTCGAATCCACTCCATCCACTTTAGCCTGGTTAACTGGGTAGTAACATAAACCCTCACACAATAAGTATGGTTCATAGCCTGGAACATGAAGGACCTGTTCCAGGAAATGAGTCAAAACAAGCGAATCTGTGAGATGACTGCATTGAAGTGATGACCTGTTCATCAGATGAATATTGTAGATGAGTTGATGTAGGGCTATACTACTAATCTTGGAGGTCGCTAAATCGAATAGTGCTGTGAGTGGAATTTTTCGTCTCACTTTTAATCATTCACCATTTCTTCTCTACTATCTAAGACAGAAATTCATAGACTTTATATTAATACTAAATGTTATCATAAGGTAAATTATTAGTATCTTAAAGACTAAATATACCTTTGTACTTATGCTTAACATACGTTTTTAAGATTTGGTCGGAACAAATACAAACCTTACAAAGCTACATAGTGGAACGTCAATCTTGTTTATTATATTAGTTAATTAAAAGTTGAATTTACTCGAATAAGTTGGAGAGGAAAAAATTACATACACTATTACATTCATATGAAGAGGTTGAATATTTCAGTTAAGTGAATAATTTGTATATAATTCTGCATAATGTTACGTATTTCAAGGAAGAAAAAAAGGAGTGTAACACCTAATATAGAGATTTTATTGTAATCTTAAATTACCGATATTTATGTAGACTTATATACTATCAGCGTTTTCATTTTATGATTTAATAAAGTCTGTTATTAAAGTCATCTAGATAGTTATATGATATCATTATCTGTTTTAAATAGCTGAAACTTTTCGGTTGTAAACTATACAGTAAATATACTTCTAAACTGTAATTAAAACTATAGTCTAAGTATACAAAGGACAGTTCCTGTTACGTAATCCAGCAGTTGTTGGTGTTGAAAGGGGCGTTGATTTACATAACAAGTGGAAACAGGTGAGATCTAAATTAAATTTCACAACAGCGAAGTAATGTCAAGAGGGGATTAAGGGGAATTATAATTATTTGTTGTTAAAAAAGTTCTATCAACAGTAAGGTGTACCTACCATCTGCAGCAAACTTATTTTTCCTCCGAGATTCAGGTGTGTTTTACTCGGCATGGATTGTCTAATTAGGGTCTTTCAAGCATCAAAAACTAGTGCGTCGGTGGCGCAGCGATATAATGCTCGCCAACCACGCATATGGTTCAGGGTTCGATCCCCGGCCGGGGCACTCCTTTACCTCACTAAGCCAGTAGTAAAACTGGTGAAGAGGAAAGGTTGGGTATGAGGCTAGCAACCCCATCCTGTAAAAATAAACACTGCTACAGAAACTTCAAGCCTCTAACTTGAAGCCCTATGTTCCACTGGGAACGTAAAGGAATAAAAAAAGCATCAAACATTACTGAATGTAAAGTCATGTTGAAATTTTCAATGCTGCACATGTATTCACTTTTTGTGGTTATTCAAATCCTAAAACTCACTATAATCTTCGTCCAGTTGTTCTCTCTCGCATATCTCTTCGTCTATTTTATTCTCATCATACTTCTTTTCGCCACAGTTATGTATACTTCTTTTAGGTATGGTAACTTGAACTGTGGAACTTTCGTGCAAAGTTCTATGTTGATGAGTCAGTCAGTCAGTCAGTCACATGCCTCTAACATACGTTGCAGAGATAATTTGATTTTTGGGTTTACACAACTTGTCGTACTGTGGTTATGGTCTAGGATTGTGAATCCATGAATTTTTCGAACAAAGTGCATCTGTATCGTATTAGCAATATACACTATCTAATAAGGATACTCGAGGTGTCGGAAATCAATGGTAAAAAAACTGTTGAAGTGTATTCTATTGACTTAGTCAATCAGCCTTTAGACAATAGGTCACGGGTCTAAATCCGGTTCCATGTATTATAACTATAGTTTCCTTTAGCAAACTGGAACTGTTCAAATCATATTGTGCCTGCTCCGTTTGATACAATAAATACAATAAAGAAAGAAAGCGTCGACTGATGATTGATTGATATGAATTGTTGGATATGACTCACATCAACTGATTCGACTCTCTGAACTTAATCAAAATCAGGTGCCACTGCTGATGAGGTCAACTGAAAACGAGTGAAATGACAGTGATCACTTCGATCTGACTAGCAATGTGAATAGTATTCACCGACGCATATTAATTAGTAGCATATAGTATCATTCATTGGTGTTTACTTTCTTGACTGGCATTTTATGATATCAAGGAGATCGCACACATATTGTGATCTGAAAAATATCAGTTTGCAAAGAAAGCTATCATGATATCATCTCACCTGTAATTGTGTAATTTCCATGTTGCAAATTTGGTTCCGGTAACATCAGTGTAGCTCAAAAGTGGTAAAGGCATATAATTACAAGTGATCGTTGCGTAACATTTGTTTGTTTGTTTTTCCTGTCTGTCGTCTTGTTGTATCAAATGAAGTGAATTAGTAATTTAGATCAACTCCTTGGCTTTACTTGGCTGCAAATTGTTTTGTCTGTTTAAATTATAGTAATATTTATTAGATGGTTGGAGGCAATCGGCAGGAAGCGAGCCCAAATAGCTCAGTGGTAACGTCTCTGACTGCAGCACTGGGTGACGCGGGTTCGAAACTCAGAAGGGACATGAGTTCCTTCAAGGTTGCAGATATGCCTTGCTGACGAGTGCCAACTAGCACGAAACCTAGGTCCAAGGTTTCCTGCCAATTGCCTCCAACCATCTAATATCATCAAATCAATGTGCACCGTGATGGCGAGCTACCTAGAATGGTGGCCACATTACAACCTGACTGATAGAATTCAGTCTGCACCAAAGAGAGGACTAGACACATCACACTAGTTACTAGTGTCAAATCAAAATATAGTAACATTTTTATAATGTGCTAATGTAACCCCCCACCATCAAGGCAACTCTTCTGCGTTAAATTGAAATTTTCTCACTTGTCATGATAAACTAAAATATTTTGATAGTTTATTATACCAAAATTATTGACTTTTGAGAGTATGTCATTATAGCTTTTAATGTTCGCAAATATAGATTATTTTCTTTCAAATTTTATTTTTGTTTAAATTTTGTTTCTTTTTCTATCTATCTAGCTGATGATTTTGCTAAAAAAAATTATCTTCAAAAATATATCTACTTATCAATTGCGTGTTTTGGTTTTCGTCAAAGATTCTATTTTGCTTGGACTGTTAGTAAGTATACCTATAGTATATATAGCATAGTACATATTCTTGAATTTTTGATTTAATGAACGAATGAACAAGAGGAAAAGTTTCCTCATATTATTATTATTATTTTTATCTTTAAAGTCCTTATGACAGATGCTTGCTTATCTCACGAGTTGATTTACTGAACTTCGTTGTAGGTTAACTCTATCTACATTTACATAAAATTGATTTAAGTATAAAACTTGGGCACTGTGATAGAGCATAACATCCTTTTCATTACTCTCCCTCTCTAAATTCGATTTATATTTTACATCTCTCAGGGAATTTGATGTCAATATTTCTGTGCGTCGGTGGCATAGTGGTTAGGACGCTCACCGACCATGCACATGGTCCGGGGTTCGATCCCCGGCCGACGCACTCCTTTACCTCGCTAAGCCAGAAATAATGCTGGTGAAGAGGAAAGGTTGGGCATGAGGCTAGCAACCCCATTCTGTAAAATAAGCACTGCTGCAGAAACTTCAAGCCACTAGCTTGAAGCCCTATGTTCCATTGGGGAACGTGAAGGAAATATATATATATATATATTTCTGAAGTTACATTTAATCCACATAAATAAATAAATAGCTTATAATGCTACCACTCAAAGTTTATAGAAGTTAGAGTGGTAGTTTAAACAGAGTTTAAAGCCTTTTTCATGTTAACAACTGATTGAAAGTTAATTCCTTAAGATAACAAACTAAGGTACAAAATTGTATATTTGTTCAAATCTTTTGTCTATAAATATATTGGGCGTAAGTTTATACACACTTTCTCTTGTGTTTTTACTAAGTAGAAAAAGTTATAAAATCCAATATGATTGAATGCAGACTCAAATTATTTTATGGCTAAACAATGCCTGTTTACTTGGCATTATTTCGGTTAATAGTGACTAGCAATGAAATTCAAGATGCACATTTCGTCCCATTTGGGACTCGTCATCTGAATGTACACCTGCATTCTAAGTGAGTGATGTTGTTCCCACTCACTAGCTCAAACGCCAGCCACGTTTTGTACAACGCGTATCAGTTATCATTTGTTTTTTTTAGGTTAATTTGCATTTCCCGCTAAACTGAGATTATGCTAGACCGAAATGCTCAGTCTGTGTCGACATACACATCCTAGATCCCACTGATAGTCACCATTGTCCAAAATAACTTAAATAACGTTAAGTTTTAAGACGTCATCGAAGCGTCGTCCGTACCAGAAGTCGACATATCAATAGAGACTGAGAATTTCGGTCCAACGTAATCAATCAACGGGGAATGCAAATTAACCTAAAACCAAATGTGTGTTTACTGCTAAATATCTACATTTTTTTCTCATATTCAACAAACTTGCAGACAGTTATTGATGTAATGGGAGGGTGATTGAAGGTGAAATGAGAAACTGGGGTTCGATTCAGTGGTCTTCAGTCTAGTAGTCTAGCGTTCTGCCAGCTGAGCTACCATACCCAACTATTAATCTTGTCATCATCCTACTGCAATTATCCATTACGTCAATAACAGTCTGTCAATTCACGACTCTCTCATATCATCTCAGTATCAAGATAGTTTGATTGGTTGGAGGATTTCATCATGAGGTGACATCAGTTAGAGAACCACTGGAAAACCAGCTGGGAGTATTGGACAGCTGTTTCTTCAGCCTAGTTTGGGACTTTTCATCAGTGCACACCCACCACCAGGGTTCGAATCCGGGACCTCTTGGTTACAAGGCGAGCTAGTAGACCATCAAGCCACTGGGACCCGATCCAGTGGCCAGCCCATGAATTCTAACTTCTGCCAATTCATGACATAACGTGACCACTTTGCAAAGTCTTCTTCGATGAAGTTACTGTCTCACCTTCAACTTGCTGCATCCTACTGGTCAGGGCTTCCCTTCAGAACTGCAGGTCACCGCCTTGATAGGCTCAGTCGCTAGTGAGCATCTCATTGATTTGCAAGTATTGGTTTTTGTTGGGATTTTGTTTGATTGGTTGGAGGATTTCATCTATCAAGATAGTTATTTCTGGTACTCACACTTAAATCCAATTTTTAAAGGGTTAGGCAGTAAACTTTGCTGTAGTGGATTTCATGATTACTCTATATATGTGTGTGTTTAAATATACATGCTACTTTTAGTAATGAGAAAAGAAGAGGAGTTACAGTTGACACTTGCTTTCAGTAAATTCTTCCTCAATCATTACTCTTATCTACTAATATTAGTATACAATAGTCGGTAAAGACCAATTAAAATCATGTCAAAAACTATATTGTGCTTCAAGTACAAGAAAGTATAGTGGTCATTTAATTCCGATTGTTTTTTAAATGTATATAAAATGTTTGTTCAATAACAATATCAAATAATGCGAGCGTAAAAAATGCAGTGTCGTCTTAAATTACAACTAAAATAGTTATTGTTAAATGTAATTTAGCACAATGATATAGATTTACTAATTACGCTATATGAACAGCACTGTCTGTGGGTTTATTATAGTACATTGTCACCTTGATAAAAGTATTATTGTAACAGCAGAAGACAAGATATTTGGTAAAGGAATGTTTATTTGGAATCTGTTATTTCTATGTAGTAAAATTATCTACACCTTATCTTCAACGCACCATTTGCACAAATCGTCGTACTGTGGTACTTTTGGACTTCATGTTGTGTTTCTTTGTGTTCATTTCACGTCTCCTATGTATCTCCACAACGCCTTATCATTTGCCTTCTCTGAAATCAAATGTATCCCCCTGCTATTTGATGTTTTTATGCAGATAAACGTCTCTTTAAATACTACTGATAAATCTTATCAGTAGCACTCGCCACACTACGATCTACCATACTCTTTCATTTCCTCCCCACACGTTCATGTCCCCCTAGGACGTCTAACTAGTTCTTTCCCATTTAGGTGCCATTCGAGGGTCTGACGCGTGATGTCACTAACTTAATGCCCTTCTAAGCATACGTCCAAAACATCTTCATTTCATCCTGCATATTTGTTTGGTGATAGGTCCTTGGTTGCCTCGTTTCCAAAGTTCCTTGTTGCTTGTCCAATCCGGTCAGCCATCCTATCTTCAGCAAACAAATCCTACAGTAGACAATTTCAAGGCACAACCTCCAACCGTTAGTTCTCAGCATACATAGGACTTCAGCTTGACACTATAATTCCTACGTGGCTCAAGCCAACAGTCTTCATGGATTGACGTCATGTTTTCGTCTGATCAGCTATAATGATTTCCGTATTCCTATGAAAGCTAACTTATCACCAATGATATTCCTAATTGTGATGGACTGGATTATGCCTCAGACAGTGGGAAACGAGAAGACAAGGATATCCTGGACCGACGTGAAGAACCTAGAAGACCTGGATTTCGCGGATGACTTAGGTTTGATGTCACACAAAATCGAAGACTTACAAGCGAAAATCGACTAACTGGTCGAAGAAGCAGCCGGTGAAGACAGGACTCCAGGTGAACATAGACAAGACGGAGGTAATGAAAATAACCAACCAACCAACAACAACGGCAACATCCAGTGCCAATCACCATCAACGGGAGGGATTTGAAAGAGGTTACTTCATTCACTTATTTAGGGAGCATTGTCTCAACTACACGAGAAACCGACGGACGAGGATGTCAAATCAAGAATCGGGAAGGCGAGAAACACATTCATCAACCTGAAACCAATCTGGAAATCTTCGTCACTCAGCAACACTCAACAACAAATTCGGATTTTCAATACAAACGTCAAGTCAGTCAGTTCTTCTATACGGATGGATCAGAAACTTGGCGGGTCACAAAGAATATTTCCAACAGCCTGTTGCAAACCTTTATCAACAACTGTCTTCTCTCTATACTGAAGATCAGATGGCCGGAAAGAGTCAACAACAAGAAACTATGGGAACAAACAAAACAAGAACCAATCACTCAACAAATATGCAGGAGAAAGTGGAGATGGATTGAACACTCGCTGAGGAGGCCACTGGGTGACATCGCGCGTCAGGCCATAGCTCGAGTGGAAGCCGAAAAGGAAGTGGCGAGTGGGACGTCCAAGGGTGACATGGAGGAGATCGTGTGAAGAAGAGTTGAAACAGTATGGACTAACATGGATGCAGGTGAAAAGTGCAGCAGAAGACAGAAGCAAGTGGAAACGTGCAGTTGAAGTCCTATGTTCCACTAGGAACCCAAGGGAAAAATAATAATAATAATGAAAGTTAACACTTTGACAATGAAGGCGATGGCTTAAACATGAAAATTCATGTATGCCCTTAAAACTCACTAAACTAACTATATGATAACAATGGGAAACTATTTAAAATCCGCAATAATCATAAAAGTTATCTATCGTTTAAAGACCTATGGTATTATCTAACTGTCCAAATTTCAGTATATGTTATAGGAAAGGTTTAGATTTTTGACGTGCTAACCCTGTTAGTCATAAACTAACATTATAAGTACTTCAGTAAGTGTTAACAGTCAAAGAAGTAGATTTTGCATGGAAACATCCTCTGGTGTATGCTTTCTGATGCGAATAATTATTATCATAAGTTTAGTAAATTTGTTTTTGGAAGAAAATATGTGGACACCAGTGGTATGCATTCAGTTAGCAAGTATAATCAAATATCTTCAGGTCGTTATTTTTTGGAGATTATTATTTTAATTTTCCGGTGATCGGTTTTATTGTACCGAAATATGTGGTCTCTGTTGACATATCGGCTTCTAGTACAGACGCTTCAACGATACCTTAAGGCTAACATAATATTTAGTTGATAATAGCTAGCAGTATTATCCAGGACGCGTTTTTTGTACTGTTTGGGACTCGTCAGTTAGAATTACCTACATCTTATATAAGTGGTAGTGTTCCCATTGGTTCCATTAGCCCAAAGGTGTCTAGTGAGTAACTCTTTGGCGTTCGAGTCCCGGTGGGAAGACCATCACAGCCTGAAGATGCATGTACATGCTAGCTACCATCTACTAAATAACATCTCCAAATCGTGCTCAAATATTAGGTTTAACAGAAAGATATTATATCGTGTTGGGTGTACACAGTAATTAATATCAGTGTTTGGTTATATTCTGGACAAAAATGTTTACTCTGCTGGTTGATTCACTGCTATTTTCCAATAAGAGGGTGCCAGAGGATTTCGGCCTTTCTGCTTGTTATCAATACTGAAGATGAATCAAATTTCAATATATAAACTTCGTCACAAACCAACTTCAGTTAGAGAATCATTGAAAACCAAGGGGCACTGGACTCTACAGTAGTTCACACCCACGACACCACCAGGAATCGAACCTGAAATTTTCAGGTTACGAGACCAAACTCACTAACAAATTCAACCACTTAGGCTGCAGTTCAATGACCCGTAGTTGCTAACTTTGTCAATTCGTGATGTAGGCATACCGCCAACCAATGTTTCCTTTTCTTTTTTATTCCTTTAGGTTCCCAGATGAACATAGGACTTCAGGCTAGAGCTTTGAAATTTCGGTAGCAGTGGTGTTTATTTTTACGCCATGAAGTTGCTAGCCTCATGCCCCCAACCTTCCCCCTTTACCGGGATTACTACCATCCAGGTGAGGTAAAGGAATGCGTTGGCCGGGGATAGAACCCGGAATCACATGTGTGGTTGGCGAGCATTCTACCCCTGTGCCACCGACGCTTCATATAAGCATTCATTACACCCCCAGTGCTCCCTGATTTTTATTGATTCTCTAACTGGTATTGGTTTCTGACGAAATCTACGTTGAAGTTAATTTAAATCTCCACAGAAACCCAGAATTTCAATAAGATTTCATTGATCTAATTTAATAAAATATCATATCTTACACACACACCTTGTTCCCTTGATTAACTTGGACAAATTAAAAACAAAGACATTTTTACAGGGAAAAAAACGCACTCCATTTTATTTTAATGGATTTTCTTCAGTTTGCAAACTGTAAATATTTACCGTACTTCAGTGTTATTTCAACTAGAAGGGTACTTAATAATTCTTAAGAGGATGACGAAAAAGAAATTAGGAAATTGCTTTTCTAGTTGAAATAATTTTGAAGTATGCAAGTATATATATATATATATATAAATAAGAAAAGTCATGAAATAAAAGGAACTCATTTTAATCCTGCAAATTATCTTCATTCTTACTTTGTTCTAAATATCATTTCCTCTGTTACATACAACGAAATAATAATGCCATTATTATTATTATTTACTGGACAATACTTCTGGCAAATTCTGTTATACACATAATCATAATTAATGTAACTTTATAACTTTGCAAAACACCTCATCTAAGTTTCATTCTATTACTTTTTCATTATCACATGGGCGTAGCAGATTTCTCCAAATATCTATATATATGTATTGACTTATTTCTAAACTACGTATTTTGCATACATCCATACATACATATCATCATATTGTGCAAGTTCTGCTTTTATTATATTAACTGATGTAAACAAAACTTGAGTTCTATACTCATAAACATTTAATGTTATTTCTGTTAATATATTTCATCACAAGAATCATTAAGCACTAAAGTTATTGATTAATTGAGTTTCAACACAGAACTTTTCACAGAAGTGTAGTAGTTCAAGTTGTGTTATGCTCTATGTAACACACAAAGGTAAGGGAAAAAGAGATTCAAAAGAGTTACAATACGCTGAAATGTATGAGAGAAAGAATAGTAACATAGAAAGGCATGATGATTGAATGGAAATGAGAGAGAGAAGTCATAAAGAGTGGAATGTATCTACGCCATTGAGAGCAATTTTGAGCCATATCACTGAAAGTCTTCATTCATTGGTTCTTGGCATCTCGAAGACCTCAATCAAGTAGCCTACACCTTCCTAGGTGGCTCAAACCGTTTGCTAAATGTTTCATATATTGATACCGGGTTTTGGTTCGACCATATCTAAGTCTTTCCCAACTTAGTCCTATGTAAGCTAACATTAAGAGTTAGAGTAAATAGATAACTTTTTTTGCACTAGTCTTTAACTCTTTATTAATCTACACTTATAGTCGCGCGTGAGATAAAAGTCATGGCGAGTTTTAAAGTGTAGCTGATATTATACCACTCTGAGCTAAATAATTAAAGCACTGAAACAGTTGCATGCCGATAACATTGGATGTTCATTTCTCATGTGCTAGCGAGTATAGTTAAAAATTATTGATCATCGGATGGATGGTGCTGGGTTCGGGAGTAAGTGGATACTGCTGAAGAGTCCCAAATCAAAATCGACTGCCTAAAGTGCATAAGAAGAATTTTCCACTTTGACCTATTATAGACATTGTTAATTCACCATATCAACAGATCGCAAAGTGGCCAGCTGATATCCTCGAACTGGTAAGAAGACATATGACAAAGTAGAACCCTAGTGATACATTGGACCTCATTGATTCAGTGAAAGATATCAACGTGTTTGATGAAAGACAAATGCTTTCACTAGATGTCACCTCTCTATTCACAAGCATCCCACTGACCAAGACAATATGCTTCATTTGTGACTAAATCGAAACCAACAACCTAATAGTTCCTATTCCCATCAACTACTACTACTACAACTAATTCGCAGATGCATGTTTAATATCTAATTCAAATTCAATGAACAATTCTGCGTACAGAAAGATGGTGTAGGTATGGGACCCCCTTACGGTTTACTCCTAGCTGACTGCTTCATGATGGGTCTCGAAAACAAAATCCTCGATCTTCTGATAAGTGAACTGCACCTATATAAGAGTTGCGTAGATAATACGTTTATAAGTTATGATGAAAAAGTTTATTTGCAGTATCTTCACAAAACCTTCAACGAGGCACATCCATCAATAAAATTCACTTTAGAACGTGAATAAAACATGGCACTTCCATTCCTGGATGTACTACTTACCAGAAGACAAGATTACACGATCCAAAGATCAATATATTGGAAGCCAACATGGACGGAACAGTTTATCAACTTCCTGAGCTTCGTCCCACTGGCCCGAAAGCAAGACCTAGTACATGCATTATGTTCAAACACTCGAAAAATCTGTTCAGAAGACACAGCAGAGAAAGAATTAAATTTATTACATGAAACCCTAATAGAGAACAGGTACCCACCAAGATTCATAGTCAAAAACATAAGAGAAAAGCCCCCATCACCATTAATCACAACTGTTCCTAAGAAAACTCTACTCATGAACCTGAAATTTAAAGGTGACATCGAAACAAGTTCTTAGTAAGCACCTTTCTAAATGTCTGAAGAAGACATTTCAAGCAGCTACCTTACGCATCACATTCTCCAGCAGACGATTTATCCAGTTTAACGTTAAAGATAAGATACCACTTTTGGCCACCTCAATGTGGATTTAACATTTTGCGAAGCAACGTCAAGTCCACAAACGTATTCTGGAATATTGTCCCGCTTGGTTAGCCATAGGAGAAAAGAAGAGTAGTAGCAGCTCAATTCTCAAGCACCTTGTCAACTCTGGACATCGAGCATCCCTCATGGATGCTTAACAGTTCTACACAGAGTCCCTCGATATCGTACGAAAGGACTTCGAATACGCCATCTATACATATGATGCATCATTGGCTATTCGGGATCTGAAACCGGATCTCTGTATTCAAAAGCACCACATACATCCACTCGTCCTACCGTGGCCAGAGTAACGTTCTCACCATAACTTTGATTCCTCTTATGTTAGTTTACCATTATTATTATTATTCTCATCATTATATTTAATATCACTCTACTACTGTGTATTAATAACATTGCGTTTTCATATGGATTTTATAAAAACACTTCCGTCTTTCCACCAGTTCTTGTCCATTCTAGACAACCATATTGATTAGTCATTTTCTCACACTTGTTACGTCATACCAACTGCTGCCCCCTTTTCTAGTTTCCAATCAGTCACCCTTTCTAGATTACACCTTACACATTATGTAATAGGTTTTCGAAGACAAATTTACCAGTATCTGATTGATCGTATGCATTCTTTTTTTAGATATAATTATGAAAATGAATTGTCGAAAAGAAAATTTTCTTCTCTGTTTTTAACGTCTTTTTTCTTAAGATGAATAGTCATAGAAAAGGATTCATCTTAACGTATAGCTTATATTTTATAAATGGTTTGCTTTTTGTATCGTGTTTTAGGTTGTTTGTCAAATTTAATCGCTGGTTTTGGATTCTCTGGATTCGATAGTAAAGGTGAACCTGAATATCGTTTTGCTACTAATATCTACTTTTTACCTATTGAAGTAAGTAACTTGGTATTTTCTGCTTGGAAAAAGAAATAAGTATTTATTTTTTTAATTTATTTTTTTATTATTGCTGTATTCCACACCGTATTTTTTGGTACAGGTATGGAATTTTCAGCATGTGATATCGGTAGCCCAAATTTTGCAAGCCGACCATACATATCAGGTGTGCGTCGGGAGGGGATCGAACCCCGGACCATGTGAATGGTCGGTGAGAGTCCAAACCACTGTGCCACCGACGGACATCATTTGTTTTATCCATGAACACTGCTGTCAAAAAGACTTTATGCAGCCAATATCATAATAATAGAGAATGTAAAGTCAATGTATCTATCTAAACCCTTCGAACATGCGAAAAATGACGTCACATCCCACTGTATTTACCAATTTGAATGTACGTGTGGACACACATACATAGGGAGGACTCATCGATCTATGCAAGTAAGGGCTTCAGAGCATATTCCTAAATGGCTCCAGAAACAAATGGAATCTTCAGAACCTATTAACGGTGAGAACAGGAGACCTAGCTCCTCTATTGCGAAACATATTATAGAGACAGCACATAAAATTGACGTTAACAGATCTCTTAAACCTATCTATAAAACGTGTTTGGGGCGTATCCTAAAGTTTGTGGAAGCTCTAGCTGGCAATTAGAAAGTCTAAACCACCTTTATGCGTTCAAAAGCAATTCGTCATCACATTAGGTTTAGTGGTAAATTTTGTTTTGATACCATGCAGATGTACTATTACCTCTGCTATTTGGTTTAGTGGTCTTCATTGTTATTTTGACCTTGAATATGTCCTTTTAACTTGACCTAAGTCTATTTTCCCACCTCTTACCTCTTTATTAATTTCATATATATTCCTATGACAAGTCCGTGTGTGATCAGATTGTTCGAAATGTGTTGCGCAAATACATTACACGATTCAGACAAATTACGTCTTCTTATTGCTTTATCTAAATTCATAAAGGGAACTAATTGTTTTAAATTTGTTTTATCATTTTATTTGTTGTTCTACCAGTATTCCATCCAAACTACTCTATTTAGAGGTCAGTTATCCTCTCTTATATTAGTTATCCTACCTCTTTAATATCTAATCCCACTTCTATAGGATTATTATATCGAATTAATTCTTTTTTTTCTGTTGATTTGTCTATCTTAAAAACAGTTTTTCTTTTCTGTATCTGTTTTCTGTATGAATGAAACAAAGTTGTAAAATTTGCTTTTATTGATCAATTTCAGTAGAAGTCAAGAATGTCTAATTTTGCAGTATTTATTTCATTATATTTGACAAAGAGGAGCCTGTCATCTTATCATCTGTGAACTGTATATGATTTCAAGAAGAAAAAAGTAGATAAGTGTTATTCAACAACCACTTGCATTTCCACCAATGATCCCTTCGCCTACTGTTTGATTGGTTTGTGGAATGGTAGTACCTTGGTGCCTAAACTTCGATAGATGAAGGCGGAAGTCCAGTGCTCAGCCCAGGGAGACACAGTTCTTACGGGTTTTCTAAAGTGTTACAATAGTGATATACAAGAATAAAAATAAAATATTCCTTAGGTATTATATTAAAGTGATACTCTATAATCTAATGAACACAAAATCGAATAATTAAACAACGCCCAATAATTGTAAATCAAATCATTATTATTTTATTTAATTAATATCAGATAAATGGTTCAATGAGTTGTAATAAGAAGGGAAAAGGGAAATATGCGGTAAAGCAGTCACTTGTGATTGCACGACTTCTTTCTGTACGCATAGATGATGCTGAAGACTTTCTATGGTATAATCTGTTCAACGGTGTGAGCTTAGGTGAACAGTTTGATACCAAAAACTCCATTAGTCTAATGAGATCCATCCCTAAAGCGAATTTCAAGTGTTGATTTGTAGAGATTTCATTGATTTCAGTAGTGTATTTCTTTATGAACCGATATCAGTTAGAGAATATCGGAGATATCAGGGTGTACTAGAAAGCTGTTTCATCCTAGCCCCAAGGATTCTGTAGTAGGACTCACCTATGACTACATAGTGTGTGGGTCGAGTAGTTCTTTGCCTTCAGATTTCATTGCGAATCTTACAAACACATACTCTAAACTCACTATAGACACCTCTTTACTTTTACTCAACACTTTATCACTTTTTTCGATTTTTTTTGTATCCTTAACTGAACTTAACGACTTAGGGATCGACTTGTTACCAGGGAATAGTCTCATGGACTTAGAATATGCAGATGACATTGTCCTGTTAGGGGAGGATGCTGACAAAATGCAGAGTCTTCTGGACACCTTGAGCAGCAATCTTCGTATGTTTGGCGTGCGATTCGCCCCTTTGAAATGTAAGATGCTGCTACAGGACTGAACTACGTCAACTCCTAGCTTAGTGATAGGGAGTGAAGTGATACAACATGTTGACCAACGGACTGATTGGCGACGAAATCTCAGCACGGATCCAAAAAGCTTGAGCTGCTTTCACTAACTTACGCCATCTCTGGCGTAGGCGTGACATCCGGCTATCAACCAAGGGATGTGTGTACTGCTCAGCAGTTCGCTCCGTCCTTCTCTATGGCTCTGAAACATGGCCCATACGAGTTAAAGACATAGAAAGGCTGACTGTCTTTGATCATAGATGTCTACGATCTCTTTCTCGCGTTAGGTGGTATAATAAGGTAAGTAATGTTGACGTTAGGCGTATTGTTGGGCAAAGAGGGAAAATCAATCGAAGAGGCTATAAAGTTACATAGATTGAGATGGATAGGTCACGGGCTGCGCATGCCTAACCATCGCCTCCCCCGACGGGCATTACTAGCTGATATAGGTGCAGGTTGGAAAAGAGTAAGTGGTGGCCAAACAAAAACATGGCCTCATCAATCCATGAAATCCTTGACAGTTAAACTGACTCAGGTAGGGAGATGCAGACTTCCGGGTTGGGGCCCTCGGGACTCTAAGAATCAATGGCTGGAGACACTAGATGACATGGCTCAAAATCGTTGTCAATGGCTTACGCAGATGTATTCAGTCTCTGTAATCTTTCATATTCCTTTCTACCACTACTCATTCTGTTTCACTTTTATACTTGTCAAAACTCTATTGATTCTCTTCACTCATCTTCTTGTGTACCTTTGTGTGCTATTTGGAACGTGGCAACTCTAACTGCTGCACTTCGGTGCTAAGTTCTATGTTGAATCCAGACAGACAGACAGACGATATTTTTTGTAGCATGTTTTTCGTTGGCTTTACAAACTAGAATTTCAGTTACTCACTACTCTAAGTACCTTGACAAGGAGTAACTGTTTGAGTATCATCAGTCTTCACATACTATAGGTATTTGTTTCACTGCTCACTAAATGGGGAATTAGTTACAGATAACTAGTATTCTACTCTTCCTATTATTTGTTATTAAAAAATCAATAGGCTATTGAATACGAATGAATTAAATGTTCTTCTATAATGTGTGTATGCATGTGTATAGTAAATAATACGCCTTAACTGATAACCATAATTGATTGATATCGTGCTTAGTGTTACAAGGGAAAGGCAAGAGATGAGTGAATGCTTGTTTAAACAAAACACTACATTAGAATTGTTCCTATTAATTGCTTTAAAAAAAGTTGATTCACACTATTTAGAAGCAATTATTAATAAATGTAATTGTATTTTTTCTTATCTGAATATCTCTATCTGTGCACACCTATTTATCACTGATTTTATTCATCATTTCTATAAAAATAGATTTATTTTCAGAGAGAAAAAACATATCGTTATATTATACTATACTGAGATATAAATTATATTCATTCTAGAAAAAAATTGTCACACTAAGTGTATGCAATCCTGATTGCAGTAGACTGGATAATGCGACAAACAGTGAGCAACAAGGAAACATGCATAAAATGGACCCACACAAAAAGCTTGGAGGATCTGGACTTCGCCGATGATATATGTCTGATTTCCCACAAACTGGAAGATGTGCAAGTGAAAAGCAACAAGTTGGCAGAAGAAGCATCCCGAGAAGATGGACCTTCAGGTTAATGTAGAGAAAACAGAGGTGAAGATTCCTGGCTAACATCAACAGCAGCAACAACAGACAACAATCAGCATAAATGGGAGAAATCTGAAAGAAGCAACATCCTTTACCTACCTACTTACCTGGGAAGTATCGTTTAAACTACAGCCGGTTGGAACTGATGAGAATATCAAAGCGATGATCGGGAAAGCAAGGCAAGCTTTCATTTCTCTCAAGTCTGTGTGGAGGTCAACAGCAATCAGCATGCAAAATAAGATCCATATTTTCAGCTTCAATGTGAAGTCAGTGCTACTATATGGATCAGAGACTTGGTGCCGTGTGACGAAGGGCACTTCGAACAGACTACAGATCTTCATCAACAGCTTTCTTCGCTCAACACTCTAGAGCAGATGGCCGGCCAGAAAAGATCAGCAATAGTGAGGGATCTCTGGGAGCGAACTAACCCAGAATGAAGCAATTGTGCAACAAATATGCAAGAAAAAATGGAGGTGGATTGGCTGTACTCTGAGAAAACCATCAAGTGACATCACACGCCAGGCCATTGCTCGAGTGGGACCCGAACGGGAAGCAACCAGTTGGTCGTCAGTGTGAGGCTGACATGAAAGGGTTGATGCAAAGTATGTGGGTAAACGTGGAGCCAGATGAAAACATTGGTGAGAACCGAACGCAATGGAGACGTGCGGTTGAAGCCCTATGTTTCTCTAGGAACTAAAGGAAACATTAATGATAAAATAATAAGTGTATGCAACCAAATGTAAATTTACAACCAATAATGAACATAGCAATATGCAAAGTAAGATCACTAACTGACATCAGTTAGAGAATCATTGATAACCAGAAAGTACTACTGGGTGGTTGTTGTTTCATCCTACATGTTATTGACTTCCAGTTTGTGGGGCTCTATTGATTTAACCGATTGATAGTGACGTCCAAACTGTAAGTTAGGAGATTAAACCTCATTTCCGACGGTTGTGTATTACTACCAGAACTTGTTCATTACTAAATGTATGAACATGTATATGGTTGTTCAGTAACATATACTGTACTTTAATAGTACAAAGCACATATACCATACTTACAGATGTGCTGATCAAGATTTGAGTGACCTTTATCTCATGTTGTTGTTTTTTTGTAAGCAGTGCAGTTTTTCTCGGAGTAGAGCAGTTCTACACCATTCTCATGTATCTTCCTGACATTTGCCTATGAAATATTGTCTTACATATTTATTGCTTTTGATTATTTATTCCATATCTGTCGATGTATTGTTTATGTGTATGCCAAAAATCACCACAAATTAATAATCATGACTATTATCTATTTCTTCATTTTCTTTTCTCTTCTAAAAAGCTTGGTACTAGTACAAAAATAATTTTAGATTCATGGAATACAGCTACAACACGTTGGTTACGTGAATGCATTTACGATCGTGTACCAAAACGTTATGCTGTTTGGGTAGTTTTTGTTGTATCAGCCATGTGGCACGGATTCTATCCAGGTTATTATTTGGCTTTTGTGTCGGCAGCATTAATTACAGTAGCTGGAAGGTGAGTTCAATGATCAGATTATCGTATTTAGTCATTGATTTAGTTCATGGGTTTATTTTTACTCCATTTTATCGAATGGTTAGGATAATCGAAGCAAGAAGCGCCAAAAAGTACATGTTTGCTTTTTAGTCTAGAGCTTCAGTCAGTGTATACATACTATTGCAACAGGCACTGACTTGTTATGGTCTGAACACAGAGAACCAATCTCTGTCTTTTACCTTATAGCCGGTAAAACTTCCTTGAGACATGCGCAGTCACAAAATGCTCCAAAGACATGAAAAAGACGATTATTCTGGAATAATTTTGTGGTTCTGTTAAACAATAATAATAGTATCAAAAACTCAAAATTACCTTAACAGTGCCGTTAGGCAGATATACAGTCCAGTTCACGTACGAAACGAGCACTTAGAATCAAGTAGAATACTTCCAAAAAGGTGGGATGAAAACCTCTGTCAGCAAGAATAACACATCAACGCTTCTCGCGGATAGCCTAAGGTCGCAAATGAAGTTCATTCACTCAAACAAAATCACATCGTTCAACATATTATCAATGTACACACAACCACAAAGGGAAGCACTAAAATTAGAGATTAAACATACATAAAGAGAAATATTTAATTGGTGGATGGTGACTAGCAGTGGAATCCAGGATGCGCATTTCGTCCTATTCGGGACTCGTCATCTGGATGTACCTGCATTTCTCAGTGAGTGATGATGTTCCCACTGAGGCTCGAACCAGTGACCATAGTTTCAAACGCCAAAGCGTTATCCACTAGACCACTTTGACCACGAGAGCCACCTCTTGTACAACGGGTCATATTGATTTAATTGAATTTTAGATTTTCCCGTCGATTGATTGGACCGAAGTGCTAGGTCTCAGGTTGACATGTCGGCTTCTTGAGCAGATGCTTCGACGATGTCTGGGCATTTAATTGGTGGATGGTGACTAGCAGTGGAATCCAGGATGCGCCTTTCGTCCTATTTGGGACTCGTCAGCTAATAAATAAAGAGAAATAATAAGGATCAAATCAACACGTGATATGCAAATATCAAAATAATGATATACAGCCTAGGAGGAAAAAAGGATAATAATTACAAAGTTGCAACGTCCAAATAAGTATAAATATGTGGTGATTAGATTGTCCAGGAGGGATTTTCCAAACAGTTTTCCCGTCACACATACAATCCTATGAAAGGTGAATTTCAGGACTGTTAGACTACAAAATTAACAAGTAACTATCCAGGGAACGGATGGCAATGATAACTGCTAATCATCCCCAGTCTAACTCTCCACCATAGAATAAATTTCCCAAAGTTGTAAAAAGGCTTCGTTTCTTATAGAATCCATCATATGTTTGTAAAGATAGACACTCACCAATGAAATCAGTTAACGGTGGAATTAGAATGAAATTTAGGTCTCATTGAAAATCGTATGACGACGGATATTCCCAGTGATTTAACTGGCAACATACTCTTTTTATAATATGATGTTCTAGAGTCGATCTTTTATGAGGGTCTTCAGCGCTAATTGCTGAAGAATCTCAGGCTAAATAATGGATGGGATTCTTAGGTCACAGTAAGAATGTAAACCGTTTGGAACTCCTGGAGCTTTCGGAATTGATTAGAAAAGTTTCGACACCAGAAAGTGAAGTATATATGTATATAAGGTTTATAAATAATACTTGAATATAATTGTCTCCAGGTACAACCATCATCAGATGACATGTGTACATCCTGATAACTATTGAAGTATTGGCTTGTAGGGATTTGATTGATTTGTTACAGGATTTCATCATGAGCTGACATCGGTTACAGAACCACTTGAAAACCTGGAACCTTGTAGTCCTGGGTGCGAACTGATGAAGAGTCCCAAACTAGGACGAAACAGCTGTCCAGTACTGCCAGGTTTTCTAGTGGTTCTCTAACCGATGTCAACTAATGATGAAATCCTATAACAAGTCCTGATAACTAATTATTAGCCTTCATTTCATGCATTGAAGTAGATATGCCTGACTCATTACCTATAATAGCATTTGCCTTTCAGTCAGTAGATTCCTCATCTAACTACTACTACTATCTCCTTCAGTGGTCGCAAAGTACCATCAGTCATTATGTAATAAAATGTAGTTCACAACTGCCTGTTACTTAAAACTCTGTTCCACATAATCGAATTCTTTCTAGTAGAGAAGCGTATAGGAATATTATTTCTAAACATAATAATATTTACTGTTAATTTTATGAACATAATAAATTTAATTGCTCATTGTTTTCTCTTCTGTGCTACACTACTAACATTAATTATGTTCACTATACTTCAAACGAATTCCTTTTTTTCTATTCAAGAACCTTACGCACTAATTTTCTCATTTAATTAGACTTAATTAGAAATACTAATTTATTATTATCATAATTATTGCCATCATCATTATTAATATTTCTTCTCGTGTTAATTGTAGTTGAACTGAAAAGCATAAATTGTCAGTCATTGAATCATTTGTAAGATGGATTCATATTACTTGTTCGAGTATTTGTTTTACTAGCAACCAGCAACCACCAAATAACATAATATTGACCTTTAGATATCGTTGAAAAGTCCCTTATTCTAGAAACCAATATGTCAGCAAAAATTGTAGCATTTCGGTTCAATGTAAATCAGTCAACGGGAAACACAACTCAAATAAATAATAAGTTGTGATATCCATCTGCATATAGGTAGCCCTGGCGCCCCAGTTGATGATAATGCTTTGGTGTTTGAAACTCTGTGGGTGTTAGATTCGAACCACAGTGGTGACATCATCACTGACTGCGGAGGGGGATTCAAATACATTCGGATGACAAGTCTCGAAATGGCACAAAACGCACACTCTGGATTCCACTGCTAGCTACTGTCAATTAAATTAGCTGCATTCTATTGAATAATAAAAATCATAGTTTATTTATAACTATGATAGTTGTATGAATAATCAAACTGTTCTGCAGACTAGTGCAAACAAGTCTGTCTGGATCTTCTGATCAACATAGAACTTGTCACCGAAGTGCAGCAGTTCGAGTTGCCACGTTCCAAATAGCACACAAAGGTAGACAAGAAGATGAGTGAAGAGAATCAATAGAGTTTTGACAAGTATAAAAGTGAAACAGAATGAGTAATGGTAGAAAGGAATATGAAAGGTTAAAGAGACTGAATACATCTGCGCCATTGACAACGATTTTGAGCCATGTCACCTATTGTCTCCAGCCATTGATTCTTAGAGTCCCGAGGGCCCCAACCCAGAAGTCTGCATCTCCCTACCTGACTCAGTTTAACTGTCAAGGATTCCATGGATTGATGCCATGTTTTTGTTTGGCCACCACTTACTCTTTTCCAACCTGCACCTATATCAGCTAGTAATGCCCGTCGGGGGAGGCGATGGTTAGGCATGCGCAGCACGTCACCTAGCCATCTCTATCTATGTAACTTTATAGCCTCTTCGATTGATTTTCCCTCTTTGCCCAACAATACGCCTAACGTCAACATTACTTACCTTATTATACCACCTAACGTGAGAAAGAGATCGTAGACATCTATGATCAAAGACAGTCAACCTTTTCATGTCTTCAACTCGTATTGGCCATGTTTCAGAGCCTAAGAGAAGGACGGAGCGAACTGCTGAGCAGTACACAGGTTGATATACATGAAATGATGATTCATTTTTCTGAAATATACCAGGCTATAAGCCACACTTATTCTCTGAAGATTGATATTACTATCTAGTGATCCAGGCTGAAGTGGGCTGCAGAGTATTTGGACTTCGAACAATCTAGAATTTAAACTTGGTTGCCAAATTTATCTGAACAAAATATTCACAAATATACTACTGAATTCGTCACTATACTTATTATCCATTCTTTGCTCTCTGAGTGGCACATAAGCTGTCAGCATCACACCTCTATTCCACTCGGTTTCCCACTCGGCTTATCCTAAGCTCTCATTTCTTTTTCACAAGATCTCCGTATTTAGATTTGGCCGACCGATCCGTCACTTTCCGTTTGGGTTCCAGTTTTTGGGGCCTGGTATATGATGCCTCTTGAAGGTTTTCTTAGCCTATGTGTACAATCCATCTCCAGTTAAAATTTTGTCATGAAAAACAGTCAGTTACACATATAATGGCTTTAATTCAACCTCTTCAAAACTGTGCATAAATGTAGCTTTTTAATATAATATAAGAGCACTACTCATTAACTATAAACTAAATAAAAGATGAATGGTTAGACATTTTTTAAGGTTTAATATTTCATTACGATGATTATTTATTGCATTGCTAAATTTACTGACAATTACGTAAAAGTAAAGATTGAAGAACACTAAAGTACTACTACTGTTATAATAACCACACTTTTAAGAAGTACATCATTACTACTAGTATTATTATTATTAATAATAGTATAAGGAGAATGCTATTTTAATACCGAATAACACGTGATATTCCTACCTATGCTTAATAATAATGATTTCGAAAGACCAAAATCTAATGAGATCTTAAATTTATTAATCAATTTGTAAATTTTCACAGTAATGCTGATATAAGATACACAAATAGAGAGAGAGAGAAAAAACGTTTACCTATTCTAGTCACAGATGAGAAATACAAATAGTATTTTCTGCTTGTTTAATTTTCAATTCACACATTATTTATTTTTTTACAAGAAATGAGAAACAAAAGAAATTAACTGAAATATTTACATTCATTCTAAGTTGAAATATTTTCTATGTGTAGGTGTTTTATTTAAGCACTAGTCCTTTTGAATAGTTTTAAGTATAATAGTTTATTGGCCAAGTTAAACTCCAGGGCACCACTAATTACCAATGGGGAGTGCGTCTGCACCACTAACCTTGAATGGTTGATTAGGAAAGAAAGCGCTTGTTCATGTAGGGAGGTATGATGACTATAAAAAGCTTCAGCAGATCACTTGATAGACATGTTCATCGTTGTGCAGTTTGTTTGAGACGAATTAGTGTCAGCGAAGGTAAGCTAATGATTTTAATACTTCGTAGGAACAGTTTTTGCTAGGTCCCATCTGTCCTTAACCGAGGTTTTGTATATTTGTAATTACTGGGCTTTAAAACAGCCTGTTAGGAGGTGCAGCTGCTGAAACCGAAAATAGTCTTCTATCAACAGTTCAGTGGTACCAGCACTACAAGGATATCGCATCCCGGAAAATAGAGAGACTTACTTCCTTATTGGGAAGATAAAGTGTGTCATAGTACCTGTAGATGAAAATGTCTTATTAGAGAGAAAATACATCCGTGATTGAGAACGAGCGAATAATGTTTGGGTGATTGGTAACTCTCTGTGGAAAGGATTCGTCGAGAAAATATAAGACAGAAAGTCAAATACTTTGATGCATATTATCACTCAACTGATGAAAAAAGGATCTATAGTAGACATAGATGAGTGGAAAGGCTATAACTGCTTGTCATCCCTTGGATATATCTACCACAGAGTCAACCATTCAAGTGATTTTACAGAGACCCACACCAATTCTGATTGAGGCTTTTGGGGAAGGTTAGAAAACAGGATTAGAGTCATTAATGGATCGCAAAACGATGTCATTTATAGTCATTTAGATGAATATATGTATAGGATGTTGTGTATGCTATCTATTGCTACTCCTGTGCTAAACTGGGAGTTGTATTTATCACATACGAGAGGAAAGTGTCCTCTGTAACACTTTAAGAGTTTTTATGCATTTTTGCATAAATATATGTATTCCTTACCAAAAAAGCCTCTTTCATATGATTGGTGCGTTCAAGGTCATTCGCTGATTGGTAGTTAGTAATGCTTAAAGTTTAACTTTGCCAGTTTATTATTTGAATGATAGTAGCCTGAAAGTGAAATCTAGGGCGAGCGTTTCATCTTATCTTAAAACTCGTCAGCTGGATATCACTGTATTTGCAGTCAGTGGTGATGTCACAACTGAGACTCGAATCCAGTACCCATTGTTTCAAATACCAAATCGCCATCCATTACAGCCGTAAAACTACCTACCTGTTGTCCAACGCGTACCAACTGTTATTTGTTTGGATTGTATTGCATTTTCCTCTGACTAATTTCCCCTGATAGACGCTCGATCCCTCTTAACATATTGAGTTCCCAGTACGGATGTTTCAACGATATTTGAATGTGAATATCATATTATCCGGGTATTGGTTGCTATTCGTATCAATCAACGGGAAATGAGAGAAAAAAACACGTAGATAAGCAATATGATTCTATCCTACAAATGATTGAATGAATGATAATTTATGCTTTTTAGTTTAAATCGAATTACTACAATCTAATTGAGCGAAATAAGTAGTAATGAAGTTCCTGAATTTAAAAAAGAAAGTAGTGGAATATAAATAGCCTATGAGAAAAGTTTTGAATTAATTGATTGAGAAGGTAAAAATGAATTCGTTTCAAGTATGCTCAAGATAATTTCATGTTAATGAGTAGCACAGCAAGTGTTTGCATGTTCTCTAAAGACTGAAACCTACATGTTGTGGTTTGAACTCAGGAAACCGATCTTTGCGTTCTACTGTGCAGTTAACCAAAACTTCCTTGAGTTACTCACAGGCATAAAATGCCTCAACGACAGCAAAAAGACAATTGGTGGCAATAAAATCTGCGGTACTACTCAACAATCATAATACATTAAAATGCAGAACTGGTAATCTACTGACTGAAAGAGAAGCGCTATAGGCAATGAGTCACGCAGATCTGTTTCAATGCACAAAGTTAAGGTTAACAATTAGTTATCAAAAGATGGTATATGTTTTTTTTACTCCTTTACGTTCCCAGTAGAACATAGGGCTTCAAACTAGAGACTTGAAGTCTTTGTAGCAGTGGTGATTATTTTTAAAGGATGGGGTTGCTAGCCTCATGCCCGACCTTCCCTCTTTATCAGTCTTACTACTGGCTTAATGAGGTAAAGGAGTGCGTCGGTGGCCGGGATCGAACCCCGGACCACCTGCATGGTCGGCGAGCACTCTACCGCTGTGCCACCGACATGTATTAATTGATAATGGCTATAATCACAATCACTTACTTATATTCAAGCATTATTTATCAGGTTCATTGGACATTGTTTCATCCATTGTTCTCTCAGATTAAATCAGCATGCTTTCACTCAAGTTGTTATCTGTATCATTTTTCAACGTTGACACATCTCTGCAAGTAGGTGCCACTTCCCACCTGTCCAAATTGTCTTAGTTAATATCTTCCTAATGTACATGGAGTGGAGTAGCTATTAGTTCTGTGTAATTAGTAGGCCTAAGAAGTGATTTTTGTTTTAAAAGTGGAGTCACACATGGTGTTTCTGAGGCTGTTGATTATTTTTTTGGCTTACATCAAAACTTATCCCTGGGGATTCAAATAGCTTTATTATTGATTTACTGAATGATTCAAATTGTGTATATGGGAATATGAGATGTTTCCGTTTTTTTGGATTAGTGCCAAAATGTACAGAAAGCCTACATTCAGAATTTTCTGTCAATTTTTACTTTTCAATAGTTAAAAATATTCATTCAGACATCTATAGCTTAAAACTTGGACTACCGATAACCTCTATCAATATACCTTATATAATTTCTCTTAATCAGTTTGTTTAAATCTAGTAAAGTATGACTTCGAACAGCATTGTTTACTCAGGCGAGTATTTAAAATGTTCACGAGCTGCTAATTCGCAAGTTTCTACTAAACATGTGAAAAAGCATTATCCTCTATGGCAGCTTATCCCAACACATTAAGTGACCATTCTTGATTGGTGTCCTTATTTCACAAAATGTACTCTTGAAGTTTTGTATAACTGGCATTCAACAAAATGTCGTCTTGTATTTCTCGAAGGAGAAAAAGAAGAAATATCAAAATGGTGGATTGGTTTGCGCTTCAGTTCAGATTGAACTGTGTCACATGATCTACAATCAATCAATCAATCTTATGTGACTATCCTGAACGAAGAGAAAATGTCATACAATAAACTCCGCTGAAAATTCTGTACATTATCTAAACACTGTTCAGAATAAAGCCGATATTATTATTTCTAAAAATATACCGTCTTAAAAGAACTTAATTTACTAATTTCCACCATCCCCCTTTCTATCTGTTAATTATAGAGTTGGTCGTAAACATCTCAGACCATATTTTCTTCATTCATCTGGATTGCACTGCTTCTATGATGTCCTTACTAATCTGAGTGCTATGCTGTGCTTAAATTACTTGGGTGTTCCATTTCTTCTATTGACTACTGATAAAGTTTTACATTTCTGGAGGTAAGTATATCTCTTTTTATGAAATGTTATGCACAAATGATACTTTTTATTAAAAATGAATTAATTTAGAATTTTCAAGTATTGGTTTTGTAGGGAATTTTGTTTGATTGGCTGGAGGATTTCACCATAAGTTAACATCAGCTAGAGAAACATTAGAAAACCAGCTGGGAGTACTGGACAGCTGTTTCGTCCTAGTTCGGGACTCTCCATCAGTACGCACTGAGCCTTGAGTAGCTCTTTGGTAACGTCTATGATTGCAACACTGGGTGACGTGGGTTCGAATCTCAGAAGGGAACATGAGTTCCTCCAAGATTGCAGATACACCTTGCTAATGAGTCCCAGCTAGCATGAAGCCTTGGTCCAAGGCTTCCTGCCGATTGCCTCCAACCATCTAGTACCAATGATTTCTTAAAAAGGTGGGTGCGTACTGATGAAGAGTCCAAAACTAGGAAGAAACAGCTGTACAGTACTCCCAGATTTTCCAATGGTTCTCTAATTGATGTCAGCTCATGATGAAACCGCTCAACTAATGTAGGATTTACTGTATAAATTACTGTCCAAGCTTATATTGTTTTAATACAACATATAAGACTGCTTGCTACACTTGAGTAAAATTGTTAATCAAGAAAACAAGACTGGTGAAGTCAGATCTAATGTTTATTGGGACAAAATACAATGAATATTGATGAAATGCTAAACCTTGTATTGATTTCTCTAGTCCTAAATAATAATTTCAACCATTGTGCTATAAATTATGTTTTGTTCTTCATTGCCTGTCGCTTATTAGACTGTCGTCAAAGTTTATTACCCTCCTCTCATGTCTATTCTTCTTCATTGACTATTCAAGTGAAACTCAAATTATCATGCCTTCTCTGATATGATATCACACTTGTCCATTCGAACGGACATTTGTGTTCATATAACAATCTCCCTTCCTGTCCAGCATTAATTTGAAACGTAAGGAATAGATATTGTCTCGCCTGCTGTCAGTGGACTTGAATTCGTTGGTGGGAGGTCGTTTCTCCTTCTGAAACACCTGGTGTTATAGATAATTGGTCGTCCATGTTTGTAGGAAAGGAAACAAATCTCTGGATAATCACAAGGGGATCCTCTTAATCAACATAGTGTTTAAGGTTCCAGGCTCCATAGTTATTCGAAGACTAAGTGGAGCTCGGTCAGACCACCCCGGCAAAGCCAGAAAAGCTAAGACAAGGATGTATCTATCATATATTCCCCTCTTTTCAGTTGCTTCTAGAACGTAGGCATAATCGGCGGTATCCAACACTTAAACATACTTCTCAACTGTATTGACTGGAAGGTGCTGTAGATATGAAGAGAGTTCCGAAAAATATGCTATACTGGTCAAGGCACTCTACTCGAACTCATACAGCCATGTAAGAGCTTATGGAGAATTGTCATTTCAGGTGTTGACAGTAAATGGCGCCCTTCAGGGATGTTCACTGTCTTCACCTTTATTTAATCTCATCATTTATGTGCCAGTGGATGTGGTCACTCAGAAATTGACTGGTTACCAGGGAAGAGCCTCGTCGATTTTGATTATGTAGGTGATATTATCCTGCTAGGTGAAGACGCTAACAAATTGCAGTCTTTTCGATACCTTGAGAAGAAATCCTAGTATGTTTGGCATGCTTTTCACCCTGATTAAATGTAAAATGATGCAAGAAGACTGGTCTGCTACGACTCCTAGTTTAAGGAAGTGGAATGAACTAGATCTATTGATCACCTGACTTATTTGGGAAGTTGCATCAGTCCTAATAGACTGATTGCTGATGAAATCTCAGCAAAGATACAAAAGGCTCGTGTAGCATTTTCCCACTCACTACTTCTCTGGCACAGATGTGATATCTAGCTATCGATGTAAGATAGGGTGTGCTGTACAGCAGTTTCTTCATAAATGTGTAACACAACCGTATATATACTAAGTCTCTATTTCAATAATAATAATAATAGATAAATAAATAATCCTTATATTTTTTATAGTTGGTTTGTAAGGGTTAGTTTCGTTTTTACGAGTTGATCACGGATTGATATCAGTTAGAGAACCATTGAAAACCACCAGGGAGTACTGGACAGTTGTTTCATCCTAGTTTAGGAATCATCGGCAGTACGCATCCACTGGGATTCGAACCCAGGACCTTTCGGTTACAAGGCAAGCTCGAATATCATTCAGCCACTGGGACCCGATTCAATGGCCAGCCCATGAATTCTAACTTCTACCAGTTCGTGATTTAGCGCGACCCCAACCAATGTCATCAGTGGGACATCCATCCTCACACGTGACTGGATGAACCTCACTGGTCATGTCTTTCCACTAGAACTCCAGGAAACTCTATCCTGTAGCAAGTCACTAGCGAACATCAGAATTGGTAGAAGTTAGAATTCATGCATTGGCCATTGAATCGAGTCCCAGTAGCTGAATGGTATACGAGCTTGCCTTGTAACCGGAAGGTCCTGGGTTCGAACCCTGGTGGTGGATGCGTACTGCGATGATTCCCAAACTAGAATGAAACAGCTGTCCAGTACTCCCTGGTGGTTTTCAATGGTTCTCTAACTGATGTCAATCCGTGATCAATCCTTATATTAGTAATATTTTTGGAATTTTTTGTTTTAACAACTTCTCATTTGATTCGATTGCCTTCTTTGTTTTCCGAAAATATAGACAAATGCGTTTCATTGGACATATTGGTCCATTAGCCCTGATAATCGGCCTTCCATTAATATGTGGTAAACCTGGACAGTTATAGATGCCTACCAATGTTTTATAAATCCGCGTTCACATTTCACCATAACAGCAACAACAACCCTTTCACCCTTCCCCTGCCATACTAACATAAATGTGTAGAAAATGAAGTTTAAAACGAGAAAAAAACTATTCATTGTGTTAGTTAGTTAGTTCATTCATTCATTCATGTGATCTAATAATTACTGCTCATTTGTGTTTATGATATTGGAAAGGAGGAGAGCTAGAGAGAGAGAGAGAGTAAGTCACTGGGGTGGTGAAATAAACAAAGGAGAAAGCAATTTTGCATTTCTAACATTCATATGTTCACCACAGCTGACTTCATTTCTTCGTTTTCTTCGCCTTCCTATTACATCCTTCTATGAATTCATCATCTCTCCACTATTGTTATTGTCATTAACATATACAAATGAGTGAGCACACAACATATTATTACATCAGTGTTCTTTTTGGCCTTTTGTTAATACCAGCTGTTATTGTACTTTTTCTCCTTTCTTTCTTTCTTTCTTATCATTATTAAAGTTGCATAACACCTGTTTATAGTATTTTTGTTGCTTAAAATTAATGGTAAAGTGAATTATATACTTTATTCTATGTCAGAGTGTATGCGTGTATGTATGTTTGTGTGTAGACTAACCGTTTTAAAATAAACAGTTGTGAATGTACACTCCATTTCTACCACTACACTTCATTAATTACAAAGATGAATAAATATTTACTTACCTATAAGGTCGGGGTGGGGGTGGATGGTGGTATGTACGTATTAAGTATCAATGTTTATTTTTATTAACAGTTCCTTTCATTCCTTTTGTCGTTTTATTTTGTCTTTGAGAAATAAAAACAGAAAAATTGAAAATAATAATCATAATAACAGTAATATTATTATATATTTGTGAAATCTATTCATGTATATTGTTGTGTTAGTGTATGTATATTTTCAAGCATTAGTTTTATTTTTAAGGATATGATTAGTTGGTGCTAAACATTCCGAAATGACTAGAGGAAGTTAAAACTCCAGCGGCAGTGGAATTCCTTCCCAGTAGCTAACCTTGTAACCTGAAGATCCTAGAATCGATCCTTAGTGAAGGGTCATAGGTAGTACATACTGATGAAGAGTCCTGAAAAAACAGGGACGAAACAGTTTTTTTCAATAGGTTCTCTGACTGGTGGTCTGATTAGTTGATAATCATCTATATCAACTGATTATAATGGCCACTAGCCAAAAACAAGCGTGATTTAAAAGAGAAAAAGGTTATTTTGAAATAATGTAAAAGATTTTTAGCTTAGGTGATTGTTTCTGTTGTAAGGTTGTGTTCTTTGATCTGAGAGATTTTATTTCGCAGCTTTTATTGTCCTTTCTCAACAACACCAATGGTAACTAACTTCCATGTGACTTCATACCCTGAAGGCAGGGCTTAAGATTTTATCTAGAAGGACAATGAAAGCCTCGTAATTAAAATCACTCAGAGCAGAGATTAAAATGTTTGAATATAAGTTCATAAGTGACATAAGCAACCTGTGGTGGTATATTGTTGAACGTAAAGAATCGTAAGTTGGAAATGACTGAAGGTATACCAAACCTTAGTTGCTCCATATTGTAAGAAGAGAGTAGAGTAGACAAATAAAAAGAGAATAGAAATATTATGATAATACTATTGTGTATGTGTATTATTATTATTATTGTTTCCTTTAATCCCTAGAGGAACATAGGGCTTCAGCCGTGCGTCTCCATTGCGTTCGGTTCTCTGTTAGTCTTTACCTGGCTTCAAGTCTGCCCACACGTTTTCATCTCCTCTTCACATGACCTCCAAGTCACCCTTGAACTGACGACCAACTCGCCGCTTCCCTTTCGGCCGGGTTCCACTTGAGCAATGGCTTGTCTAGTGATGTCACTTGATGGTTTGTTTCCTCAGAGTATGGCCAATCCATCTCCATTTCTTCCTGCCTATTTGTTTCACAATCGGTTCCTGGTTGGTTCGCTTCCAGAGATCTTTTCCGGCCGTCTGATCTTGAGTATTGAGTGAAGACAACTGTTAATGAAGGTCTGTAGTTTCTTTGAGATGCTCTTTATGACACGCTGACCAAGCCTCTGACCCGTATAGTAGCACTGACTTCACATTGGAGTTGAAAATCCGGATCTTATTTTTGACGCTGAATGCTGTTGACCTCCACACAGACTTGAGAGTAGTGAAAGCTTGTCTTGCTTTTCCGATTCTTGCTTTGATATCCTCGTCAGTTCCGTTCGCCTGTAGTTGAGACGTTGCTTCCCAGGTAGGTGGGTAGGTAAAAGAGGTTGTTTCTTTCAGGTTCCTTCCATTTATGCTGATTGTCTGTTGTTGTTGTTGCCGTTGGTGGTGTTGCCCAGGAATCTTCATCACCTCTGTTTTCTCTATGTTCATCTGAAGTCCTATCTTCTCTGAATGTTTCTTCTGCCAACTTATTGCTTTTTGCTTGCATATCTCCCAGTTTGTGGGAAATCAGACATATATCATCGGCGAAGTCCATATCCTCCAAGTTTTATGTGTGGGTCCTTTTTATGCCTGTTTCTTCATTGCCCGTTGTTTGCCGCATTATGCAATCAAGAAAATCATTGGCGATAGTAGGCAGCCTTGTCTTACTCCTGTCCTCATTTCGAAGGATTCCGTAAGTTTCTCGTTGTGGATTACTTGGCATGCAGCATTGTCGATTGTGTATGTGTGTGTGTGTGTATTAAAGAGAGGAGGAATAATTTGAGGATTAGTCGTTAATATGTTTATAATTTTGAAGCGAATACACTGTCATGTTATAAAACGTCTACGACCATTTGTCTTTAACTTTTCAGGTGACACCAACTAGTCTGTGCCACGTTTTCCTACAACTCCTGTTAACTCTCTTCTAAATTATATCTATTTCTACTGATATCTGTCGTCCTAGTGGTCGGTAGCTCAACATGAATAACTTAAAGCCATCTTAGCTGATGAAGACGGGCAACTGCATTGACTAACTTATCTTCCTTACTTCTAATACTACATTTATTGCTGAAATCACTTTTTGTGTTTTTCTACCTTAATCCAAGCCTACTTTTAGTGACCATATACTGTCGCCTATAAACAATGACAGAGTGGACTACTTTTCAGTATAGCTGAATATCTCGTTCTCATCAAAGAGGATACAAGTTAGTGAATGTTAGATGGTTCAACTTGACAAATAGGTGAACTGGGCAACACATTCTATCACTTCATTCTGTAGGAGTTGATGCAGATGTGTCGGACTGTCTTACATTTGATTGATGAAGTGTATATCAAGCATACTTAAGATTAAAAAAATACGCAGAATGCAATAAATGACTATTTCGCAGAAAAAGACATGTTCTTATGGCTAATACTTTGCTCATCTATATATGTGTACATATAGACGAAAGTGCTTCTAGGATACTGCATAAAAATGGACTAAAAAGTGATAGATGTGCAACACAGTGATCTAGGTACTCTACTCTACTCTCAAAATCTGTTTCTAGGTTTCGTACCTGACAATAATTAATTGCGTCGTCAATTCAGTACTTCTATATGCTTCAGAGACTTGACGCACGCCTCAATAAAAGACTTCCAACAACTGCTTTCGTTCGATAATGAAGATCAAATGGTCTGTTGAAATGTATAAGCAACAACAACAAGCCTGGCTGACAGCGGACCAACCAATAGCGTATTACCTGACAAATATGCAGGAGGAAACGAAGACGGCTTGGACATATTCTGAAGAGGCATTTAAGTGACATCACACATCAGTCTTTCGGGTTGACCCTGAATAGGCAGGCATCAGAGGGTGGCATGAAGGGAATCATCTGAAGAGGAGGGAGTGAAGACTTACGGGCAATCGTAGTACCATTGTAAAGTGACAGCAGAGTACCAAACGAAATAGAGGCGTGCTGGTGACACCCTATGCTCTCACTGTGAACTCAAAGAATAGATACAAAAAAATAGTAGTTGCCTAGCATATCATTTATATCGAAATGACAGTGTATATAGCAGATATCAAGCCTTGAGTACAGGTATCGCGTATACACTTATGTCACTGAAGAAAGTGATGAATTCACAGCTCTCCAATTTACTTCCATCACATATTCGATATTATTTTTAATTAGCATAATAAAATTTTGAACAGCTACATAAGGAATATGATTTGGTTAACTTACACAATCTTTAATCACTTTAGAAAATCTAATGATTGAAGATGAATGTTTGTCTAACGTTGAATTTCAATTAAGAATAAATATTTCCCAATTGCTACTACTTCTCTGTTTATTGATTTTTTTTTGGACATAGATGAGACTCTATAAAATAACATTCGTAAATCTTTCAATGTGTTGTTTTTAAGTTTTTGGTGTATCTCTTTACATCTGAATGGTGACTGGTTGGTTTAATTTATGACTATACAAAAAATAAATTCAGTCGATCTTTATCATTTTTATTGTTATTAGTAGTAGTAGTTTACGATAATACAGTGAAACAATATAAAAACCAATATCTTCAGAATTTGAGTCTTGTAGGGTTTTGAATTAATTTTAATATAGGCTTTGTCATGAACGTGTACTAGTTAGAGAATCACTGGAAATCAGGGAGAACTAAACTGTCATATCGTTCTAGTTTGGAATTTCTCATCAGTGTGCATCCATAACCTCCTCCCCCTCCGCCAAATGAGTGGCTGAATAGTCAATAGGTCAGCTTCATAATCTGAATGTCCTGGGTTCAGTCACTTCAGAAGAGTCTCAAACTGGGACGAAACAAGTGTCCGGTTCTCCATCGTTTTCAATGACTCTTCAATTGATGTTGGTTTTTTAACGGAATGTACATTAAAACTAATGCTTTGCTTATTGATAGTCCGTGATTATGCCTTCTTGTTTTGTTATACTTTAATGGGAAAATTATTTGCTTGAGAGTGACTAGTAGGATAGTTCAGGATGTGTGTTTCATCTTATTTGGGACTTATCAGCTGGTATTGTAATTACTGATTGACGATATTTTAAAAAAAGACTAATAATAACATCTTTATTCTAGACAGTATTTATAAAATTATAAGTTTCCAGACCGTAGATGTTACGAACTTCCTGGAATAATTTGAGCGCCAAATCAGATTATTATTATTATTATTATTGTTCCCTTGGGTTCCTAGTGGAACATAGGGCTTCAACTGCACGCCTCCACTTGTTTCTTTCTTCTGCTGTATTTTTCACTTGCATCCATGTTAGTCCATACTGTTTCAACTCCTCTTCACACGATCTCCTCCATGTCACCCTTAGACGTCCCACTCGCCACTTCCCTTTCGCGTTCCACTCGAGCGTTGGCCTGACGCGCGATGTCACCCAGTGGCCTCCCCAGCCAGTGTCTAATCCATCTCCACTTTCTCCTGCATATTTGTTGAGTGATTGGTTCTTGTTTTGTTTGTTCCCATAGTTTCTTGTTGGTGATTCTTTCCGGCCATCTGATCTTCAGCATAGAACGAAGACAGCTGTTGATAAAAGTTTGCGACGGGCTGTTGGAAATATTCTTTGTGGCCCACTGCCAAGTTTCTGATCCGTATAGCAAAACTGACTTGACGTTTGTATTGAAAATCAGAATTTTGTTGTTGATACTGAGTTGAGTGACGAAGATTTTCAGGTTGATGAATGTATTTCTCGCCTTCCCGATTCTCGATTTGACATCCTCGTCCGTTCCTGCTGTAGTTGAGACAATGCTCCCCACCTAGATAAGTGAATGAAGTAACCTCTTTCAAATCCCTCCTGTTGATGGTGATTGGCACTGGATGTTGCTGCTGTTGTTGTTGTTGTTGGTTGGTTATTTTCATAACCTCCGTCTTGTCTATGTTCACCTGGAGTCCTGTCTTCTCTGGCTGCTTCTTCGACCAGTTTGTCGGTTTTCGCTTGTAAGTCTTCGATTTTGTGTGACATCAAACATAAATCATCCACGCACGAAATCCAGGTCTTCAAGATTCTTCACGTCGGTCCAGGATATCCGTGTCTTCTCGTTTCCCACTGTCTGACGCATAATCGAGTCCACCACAATTAGGAATATCATTGGTGATAATAAGCACCCTTGTCTGACTCCTGTGTTTACTATAAGTTATTTATAAAATGTACAG